CAGAAAATGAATATATTCAATTCAAACTTTCTACCCGCCCAACAGAAAGAAAAAACACTCTTTGGCATGATACCCATAACGATACTCACAACGTACCTGCTCTCTATGACAAGCGGGATGCAATTAGAAAGAAATAGATACCAAAGGTAAGTTTAGCAATCGTGGTTATCTAAGCAATTTGAAGTCGGGGAGACAAAGGGGCACTATATTTCAGAAAAGGAGGAAATTCCAAAATTAAAGGGAAACATACCCCCGTTGCCCACAGTTCGGACGTTCCTAGTTTAAAGCAAGACACTGAACGACAAAAATAAAAAAGTAGACGCTGAAGTAAAAAAATCAATAAACTAAAATCAGAAAGCCTAAAACTAATAAAAAGGGGCTTTTTAAACCAAATAACAGACAATGACAAATTTACTAAATAATCGACTGGAAAGCTATTTGAAAATATTCTTTCACAGCTGAAGCCTTCTGACTCCTAGAGATAAATGCTATTGCTTTATAGTAATCTTAATGAAGGCAGGGAAATCCCCAAAAATCTTTTAATGCTTTTGTTTTCTTCTGTCATTTTAGTTTTAGCACAGATGGTTGAATCTTTCTTATTATATTTTACCATTTCTAGCATGCACTGCTTACTTATATATAGAGTACATTGAAACGAACATACATGGCTTGAAAAGTATATATAAGAACACGAGCCTCAATTCGTGAAAAGTTAAAATACAAATAAAGAACTAGCTGAGGCTGAGGTACCTTAAAATTCAGTTGTGAATGAAGTGGCCTTTATTTTTACGATTTAAACTTAAAAAACTTCGGTTACCCAGTTTGCTAGATTGTTATGCAAAAATCCCTGTCTATCTAGGAAAGAGATGGAAAGGGCCGAAGAGTGAAAATGCGAACTGTGAATCACGCAAGAAATAAGAGATGCCTAGTTGAGGTGTTTAAATGCCCAAATGGACTGAAAAAGAATGCTTGAAGGCTATATCAAGAAAACTCTAAACTAGAAGTTAATCTGCGGGAATAACATCACTCTTTTGCTTGATGCCTGATGGTAAAGTTATTTGCCGGATGGTAATGCAGCAACTAATAGTTAAAAGAAAGGGGAAAAATGATAGCTAATTTAAAGAGATTGCAACAACTTGACTTAATCTTATTTCTAAATTTGTACTTTCTAGATTTCTAAACTTGAAATTGTAATCTGACATTTTGTGCAATTTGACCAAGTATGTACAAGGGACATCTTCTATGCAGCGCCCGTTATTAAGCGAGTTCCTTTTAGTTGAGCCCCTCTTTTTATTATACATTTACTAGACCACCCAGGGATTGGGGAGGGGGGTTGATCAGAAAATTTAGGTTTTTCACTTCAGAAGATGTACAAAGTCAACAAAAGTCACTTTTGAATTGATTTATCATACTTTCCAAGCCTTATTATCTATTATCAATTCAGGCACTCAAAGCTTTGCTAAACATTTCAAGCCTTGGATATATTTTTTGGCGAAAAATAACACAAAGTGCGTCATCGATGTCATTTTTCTCGTGCTACAGACATGCAGATAATAGCTACAGTTTTGTAAGAATTCACTCGTACCGAGGAGGTTGCCGGAAGGCAGCGAAAATTCTAAGAACAAATTATGACAGTGTATTTTTTTTAATATGGGTTTTAAACATAAAATAAGGTATTCAAACTCAAACTTAAACTATTTTTCAGCATAAAAATAGCTACTTAAAATGTAAATATATCAAATTATTTAAGACTTTAGGCTGATGGACACATGAAAAGAACTTAAAGGCAAGCTATTGAGCCATGTGGCCAGTCTTATGTGTTTTACATTACAATTTCAAGTTTGAATAAAAACAGTAAGAAATAAATCATAGAAACTATAATAATATATAAATAATAATGATGATCATGGATAATACTGAATGCAATTATAGAACAATCAAGTTAACAGTTCTAAAAGTTGTCCAGGAGAAAGTGTTTCATCTGATTCATAAAATGATGTTTGATATGCATCTCTTTTAATTCTATAGGGAGAGAGTTCCATAATTTGATACCATCGAAAATAAGAAAGTTTTTTTTAAAGTTCATAGAGATGGATGGAAGAGAAAATCCTTCAGAATAAGACTCTCTTATATTTTACTTATGAACATATTTTGTTTTTAAAAGCTCGCCTTTGATAGAAGTTCCAGAATATTTCTTTTTTTCTGTCTCTAGCCAATTTGAAAAGTGGTTGTCCGCAAGGTCTCCGAAGAAGGGGGCGTGGGGGCCATGGTCTCCCCGCTTTTTTGCTAAACAATAGAGCCTTTTTCAAGATCTTTTGTTATGGGTGTTAAATGTTCCCTTAATGACCAGTCACTTTCCAACCTGAGTCGGAGCCCACGGTCCCCCTCTTGTTCTGCATTCAGAAGGAAACAAGCATTGTTTAGATTTTTCAATAGACAACAAAATACAATAGTTAGCATAATAGAAGCTGCAGAAAACACCTGAAATATACGTTTCTATTTGGAAAGCCAATGCTAGCATGTGGCCGTTTTGTAGGCCACCTTCCCCCATCATGACTGTTTTATCAAAACCCTTGCCCGTCAAAACTTGATTTAACCAAACAGAAAAATGTGAACAATTTTTTTTGCGGTACAGAATTTGAAAATGGCTTTGAAAAAAGCAAACATTTTACAACATACTTAAAGCTTTTTCGTCTGACACTCCTCAGAGCATAAAACGTCAGAATAGGATCCGAAAAAACACGTTTGAAAAATAACAAACAGCAAAAGTTGGCCAAATTGAAAAATCACAAAAATAGAAAGGAAACATTTTTTAGCTCGCATTTTGCACAAAAATATGTTTGAAAGAATCTTGAAGCTGCCAGAGACGAAACAAGAAACAAAGATAACATACAATTCAAACAAAAAATAGGTGATAATCATTGTGATAATAATTGCTATATTTTTTGCACTATTACTCTGCATAATACCTCCTCAAACGTAGCTGCTTTTAAATAGTTTGTTTTGTTAGCCGAATTTTGACATGAGCCGTTACACGATTCGCCACACACTATTTCAAACATGCGGCAGCCCAGGCTGAAGGCTCAAAAAAAACTGTAGCACCTAGCTGCGCCTTTTTTCTTCAAAAGCAACACACACCATGATTATCTTGGTATTAGCAAGGTTTTATCTTGGTATCATAAATACATTGTTTCAGCAGGTGCAACGAATATTCTCATCGAAAATACCCTTTTCGTATAAGCACAGTCAATTGACCAGGGTATAAGCACTTGCATCATGGTGATAGTTTCTTTTTCTAAACAGTCTGTGCACCTGCATAGAAACTAATTATGATAATTATGCAAGTCGGTCTGAGAAAGGACCTTGGAATCGTGGGGCATATCACTTGATGAAAATCTCGCACACCTTTGGTGGAAATTCGATTGTTACATCTAAAATCCCGGGATATCGTTTAACTTTCGTTAAAATGTCGATGATGTTTGAAGGAGTAAACGGCACCTCACTTGGAATCTGGGGTGCACCTGAGGCACGTGATCCCAGCTTTTAGAAAAATGCCCTTTTTTAGAAGTAGCCACTTTTAAGAGTGCTCCTTTTTTTGTGATACGGTGCCTCCTCTCCTACATATACCCCACTAACATTGAAATGATCCAGACGTTCCCTAACCTGTCAGAGTTTTAGAAGGCCTAGGGACATGTCATCAGAGAGGATGGTCTCGAAAATTGGTACTGGAGGGTAAAATTGAAGGTGTTAAAGCGAGAGTGTGGCAGAGAAAAATATTGGTTGTTAAGGTAGTTGCTCCTTTGGCTAAATATGATATTTCTTGATATGAATGAAGATAAACAAACTAATGGTTTGAAGATTTGAAGATTTCTTATTGGCACAAAATCTAAAAATCCAGGCCCTCTTTGGGTAAAATTGTGCCCTTGTGTCCATTTCCTCTAAAAAGGCATGCTAAGATGGAAAGAGGGATGTAAATTGGCAACTAGTGCTGCTTGTTACCTATATTTAGAAGTAACTGACAACATGGAGGTTTTCAAGACCACGGCGATTTATTTTAATTGCTGTTCAATTTGTTTGCAAAAATAAAGGAATTTTCGGCAGTATTAGGAGGATTACTGAAAGCACCAAAATTCGAAAATTTTCTGGTCCTTCGGCGGCAACAATGGTAGTTGCCCGTCCCGGTATACAGATTTGGCAAACTATTAGGAAAGTCCGTTGTTATCATTTTACAATGAATGTTGCGAATTATATGCCACACAGTTAGATTGACAAAATGTATTGCAGAGGTTTGTGACAACAACTTAGGAATCTCATGTAATTATTTTTTAATCAGGTAAATTTGTAGTCCACACCCCCCTCAACAAGGCTTGCCTCGTGACGGCCCTAATGATCATTTTAGCAATGTTTGAAGTTATGACGACCTTCACTGTGGAAGCCAAAAAGTGTCACCCGTAGCTACCCCAACCCCTCTTCGAAAAGCTACCAAAATCTAAGAATGCTTCTTTCGAAAATTAGAACGGGGGACTGCTTCCCTGTTTACTATCCTCAGATATTCCTCACAAAAATTGGTCATTTCGCGGTCTTTTGCAAGCGTTTCGTAACCTTTTCTGGCCAACTCTCAAAACCCCATTGCATTTTCATATTGTAAGTTGCAACACTTCGTGAAACAACAGTCATGATTACACAGCAATTTTAATTGAACGTAGTTATTCAAGCAGCAAATATTCGTTTCCGCCTAAATCCCCGAAACAAATAAAAATTTCCTGTTTCGGTTTTCAACAGTCTACCACTTACTATTGACTTTATATAATAGGCAGCAAAGAATAGCCAACTTATTGTCTTATACAAAAGATTGATATAATCGAAACTGGATTATGAGTGGTTGTTGCAACTCACGTGACTTATTTCCATAGCCACGGCTTCTATAATAGCAGTGGAGAACCCCATGGGCGTCGATTTAGAATAAGTCCATTTACAACACGACACTCACCTCACCAGCCATGGCAGGACTACCAGACGGCAGTGTATTCAAGGGCAAGAAACTTTTGAGCCACTCGGGGGATCTTGTTGATGCTGAGCAAGCTTTGGCCAACAAAACAGTTGTAGTCTGCTACTTCTCAGCACACTGGTGTCCGCCATGTCGACAATTTACTCCAATGCTGAAGATGTTCTACGAGGATTTGGAAGACTCCCCGCTTGCAATCATCTTCGTTTCTTCGGACAGAGATGAGGCATCCATGAAATCTTACTTCGCTGACCATGGTGCCTATTATGCAGTCCCATACAGTGATAATGAGCTCTCAACTGCCTTGAAGCAGAATTGTGAAGTTCAAGGAATTCCGAAGCTTGCCGTTGTCGATAAGAGTGGTAAAATGCTTAATGGCGACGGTAGATCCGATGTAGCTAAAGGAAAGCCGTCTGAGGCATTCAAGAAGTGGGAAGACATCTCAAAGGCCTAAGCTAGTTTTGCAAAAGCGATGAACTGCATTGTTGACGCACGTGCCTTCATTTCTCCGCATCAACTCCGCCTTGAACGTTTCCTATTGACAGCGTAATTATTGGTCAGAGGCGGATCCAGCGGAAAATCTGAGGGGTGCTTAAGGGCGTTGCCTTAATAGCCATAATAATGCCACACCCCACTTTTACTTACGGTTAAATGAAGGCAACACCCATCTTGATAAATTAATCTTTTTAAAATTCAGGTATTAAAGCATAACTATATAGAAAATTATCTCTTTTGTTAGAAGCCTATATGCTAGCAATGCTAGTTAAAAATAACACTGCTACTTTCGCAGTTTGTACATCACATTAATCAATGAATGACATTTTAGGTCGTTAGTCAATATTTGATTGCTCTGCAATATTCAGACGCTGGTTCATTTTTGTAGAAAGGCAGCTAAAATGTTTCAAACAAAAAAAAGCAAAAAGAATCATTGCTACGTTAACTGACAATTACTATACGAAAATTGAGTTAAATATCATTGAGTCATGGTAAAATGGATTGGGTATACCCTAAGTGCCAGAATCCGCTGAGTCGTGATTTTCATGAATGCCATGCTATTGGTTGACCTTGAACTGGTCACATGAACTCACCTCGTACTGATTGACAAAACAATTTCCATCAATAGCCAAGTTGTCAACAACGGATGCAAGTATCACATGAAACAGCAGCGATCACGCCGAATCCAAATGACCCCTATAGAGAAGGCCTATTTACCATGACTCAATGTCTTTAAATCAATACTTGTAAGAATTTGTTGATAAAAATTGATTGTTTTACTAAGTACCTTGTGTTGAAGTAGTACGTTTTTGGGGTCATCTGCATTTGGCAAGAAATGGGTATCGAATTCATTCTGGTAGTAATTACCATACCACCCCAACAACCAAAAATCCTTGGCACAATTTTTTTGGGGGTGCGCATTTTTCTCTGTAAAATTCGATATTTTTGTCGAATTAATCCAAGAAATATTCTGTTAAAACGTTTTGCATTTAAAGTCTGGTAAAGAAACTACCAACCAGAAAGGCTGAAGGTCAGAACTTCCACGGGACAGTACTTGAACCTTTGGCATTTGCAGTTCAGCGAACTCATCGATCTGTGTACCACAAGTCACGACACCATCCACCACGCTCTTATCAAAAACTTTTCTCACGATTGACTGAATACTCAAAAGCTCGTTTTCCGTTTCAATTTCTTCAATCGACTGGCAACCAATTACCGAGAACACCTGCAACAGCAACGATTTTATGTCCGCCATTGCTGCTACACGAACAGGTTTAGTCGTTTCAGTGACGGTATACACCAGTGTATAGTGAATGATTGATAGGGGTGCTCAGATGAGCCGAAATTTGGCAAACGGATTGGTTGAAGCCTTGTTTTGATTGATAGGGGTGCTCGACATTGCGGAAAAACATATCAGAGCGTGATGTGATTGGCTCAGTTGCAACTTTGACCTTAGAGGTTGATTGATAGGGGTGCTCAAGCACCCGTAAAATTGAAGTAGCTCATTGGCCGAGAGTGTGGTTTGATGGACAAGTAAAAAAATTGGTTCCAGGGCAGCTCAACATGAAATTTCTAGCCATTTATAGTTTAAAGCAGATACAGGTTATGCTAACTAACGCATGACCGTATGTCATCAGTTTACTGGAAAATGCATTTACATCATCTAAAAGGATTAAAGACGTTTTTCAGAGATTAGAGAAAATTCATTGAATGTTATATCTCCGAAAATTCTGACCGGTGCTCAGGCACCCATAGCACCCCCCTAGATCCGCCTCTGTTGGTACCTACGAAACAGAAGTTATTTTCTAAACCATTACGTAGATTTGTTACTATCAGTAAACTGAATTTACAATTTAATATTTTGCTAAGCACTCGATTTATTTGTGTCATTATTTATGCCATCTTCAACATAAATGTTTCCTAGGCCTCTATCTCTCAGGGGAAATCCCGGGCTTGCGACCATACAGAAGTAGCAGTACCGACCCAACCGGGGATAGTTTGTTTTGGTATACCTAATCATCTAATTTTTGAACATAAAAATTCGTAAAAACCTACTTTCTTGAAACTTTTGGTGCGCCTTAATAGCATTTTTTTAAAAAATTCTTAAACAAACGACGTTGGTAAACAACGTTTAAAGTGTGGTTGGTTCGAAGTTGATTATCTTTTAGTCTAAAATTGTTGACTGATTGCAACCAGTTCCTGAATATCCAAACTCAATTTTTTCAGCATCGAGTTAATACTTAAATGCTGGTAACTGTGAAAAAGGACCGAGAAACATTTATTTATGATAGGAAACATGCAAGGAAACCGGAAAAATTATAAAAAGCACGCCTCATTAAAACCGGAATATACGCCTGCCTCACGAAATTACTCCAATTGTTGAGAAAAACGACGATAAACACCTTTGCAGAAACACAACCTTGATGAAACATTTCAACACAATGTCCCTCTGAAAAACTTTGAAGATGTCCAAGGGGGTATGGGGTGTCGATCAGAAAAGGGAACTTGGGACTTGCCCCGTGTCAAATGGCATAACAAAGTAGGGTTACAAAATAAGATTAAGAGATTGGGGGAGGGCTCAGAGGGTACAGCCTCTCCTGTAAAAAGTGGTCTAAAAATCTAAGAGGTTAACCCTATCCAGACTAGGGGGGCACAAAGTGGCTTTTCTTTCATAACTTCACGAGTTTCAAAGCAAAACCCCTTCAGACCTCCTGACTTTTAGTTTTAACCTGTCTGACAATGTTCATATAAAAAGATAAAAAAATGTTTGTTAATCAGGGGGCTATGTAGGGGCGTTTTCAGAGCTAGTCAAGTCAAAAAAGTTTTCTAAAATTTTCTAAATTTTTGCTCAACCCGGCCGCCGTTATGATGACGTCATCATTAAACCACGTGACTTAAAAAAGAAACAATAGTACTAAAATGTGGAGAATAGATAAGAGTACCATCAAAACAAAGTTCATTGTCCTAGCTAGAAGGACAAAGAAATTATGGAAGTTTTATTTACAAAAAACCTTCTAGAGAGAAAAAAATAGTTGGATCACAGCTTGTGCATCCTCTGTACTAAATAGTTTCACTCATTTCCATGGCATCGTCCTGTGATTTTGAGCTCGGAGTGAGCCCCCGGGGCCAGCTTTATCTCTTCTAGGTATGTTTACTTTTGTTCACATTTCACTTTGTTTTTTGCATTTCTTTGCCATTATTTATCAACTTTCCTCCGTTGTAGTTCCTCTATGGCCTTTAAGCCTCTCTTTGGCGTTACCAAGGAGATCTGCATGATCGGGAAAAAAGGGGCCACCGAGAAATTTTTCGAAAAGCGGGTTTTTGGGTAAAAACAAATGTTTCTCGATTGCATTCACAGCAACATAAATCGCTTCGAAGAGAAAAAGAATTACCTTGCAACATACCAATTGGCGCCCTTCATTTAGCTTTCTTCAAATTTTCACTCAAAGTCTTGGAAATGTGCAGAAAAGTATAAGAGCTCCGAAGCATGCAGATCTGTATCTATCGTTCTGTCGCGTACTGAAAGAACTACAAATGAAGGGTGATAGAGAAATTTCAAATAGAGGATGTTATTCTTTGTATGCCAAACAGTATTTTTGAGTATCGTTGTAGCGGCTGTATCATTAAACAGCACAACAATGATAATCAGGGAAGTCACTATTAAGGGGCACCTTGTTTAGATCTACTACAAATTTGCCTGATTGAAAAAAGTTACCTGAAATTCTTTAGTTGCAGACACCATCCCACCGCAATACATTGTGTCGATTCACATCATCTATATGCATGAAAATATCAGAACTTCCAAACCTTAAGATCTATATACCGGATTGATGGTTTTAATCAACTTTCTGGTGTCGTTGTTTAATGTTTTAGCTTATGCAACATAATTATTTTTCAGATTGGAACATAATCTCTAAGCTTTTTCTTCCTATAATTTCTTATCATTCCGATAAATCAAAACTTCTTGCACCTTCTCAATAATTCTTTGAAATGGTGCCTAATCCGAATTTTTACCGCCAAGCCGAAAATTTTCGGCGGGTTCCTCAAAAACGCCCCGCAACTCCTACCTCGGTACGGCCATGGTATCTACTTTGTGCAAAAATCATTTAGATTTAGCATGAGATCTTGAGATGGTGTTGGACGATCGTTGTTAAGCGCATAAAAGTTTGTAAGAAAGACGAGTTGATGCTTGCAATGTGATTCTTGTTCTCTTAAAGTCCGATTTTTTTTTGCAAATTGTCCTCGTTTGCTAGCTATTTGGTTAGGGCAACTTTGGCACCCCTTTAATGTGAAAATTCATTTTGGCGCCCTTGATATTTGATGGGCAGGGGGTGGGGTGGTGGGGGTGGTGGGGTTGATGGGGGAGGAAGTGCCCTACTAGCATATAAGAAATTCACTTTAAAAAACAGTACAGTCTGCTCCAAAAATCAGTTTCTTGCGGACTTGCGGATGTTTTATCGAATAAGCTGAAAATGAAATTCCTAACTTTTCAGAAGTATTCTTAAAATTGGTCAGAGAATAGATTTCAGTTTTGCTTTTTCATCAAATATTTTTTCAGGCAAGCAAACAGCGTTAGACACTACTTGGAGAAAATCCCTAATAGTACGACCAAAACCCAACGATTCTAGAAATATATTCTTGTGATTTCATGACTTTTTACATAGGGACAATTCAGGGACCGCGGAAGCAAGGGGGCTCAGGGGGGCTTTAGCTACCCCAATAATTTCAAAAATGTACATAAAATCATGCAAAAAACCCTTTGATCCTGGTCTTTAGCATATTTACCTCCCCCCTCCCCTAAGCATTTTAGCCCCCACAATCTGTAAAATGCTCCGCGGTCCTTGGGGCAGTTAGAATTCTCCATATTGTCGGCAGTTTGAAATGCATCTGGAAGAGCTGTACGTAAAGATCTGTTGGAAGGTTCAAATCACGAAATTCCAAGCTCAAAGGCTTTGTTTA